TATCTGTGTGTATGTGTGTATATGTGTGTGTATGTGTGTATGTATGTGTAAGTGTGTATATTATGAATGTATGTGTGTGTGTGTGTGTGTATGTGTGTGTGTATGTGTGTGTGTGTGTGTGTGTGTGTGTGTGTGTGTGTGTGTGTGCATCTCCGTGCATGTCACGACCGCTCACCTGTAAGCATGAGAGAGCGTCTGCCAGGAGCGAGAGTGCAGGGGTCTGCAGATGGCGAAGTATCGCTCCAGGGAGATGGCCACGAGGGTGAAACAGGACACGCCCACTGACACAGCTGAGGGGAGAGAGTGACACATGTCGTTAGTGCTGAGGGAGGGTCGGGTTGCTCAAAGGGGCGGGGCTTGAAGGTTGAAGTTGAGGGGGAAGGCGTGGTTGTGGTTTAGATAAACTAGGGGTGAGTTTAGTACACGAGTGGTCTCTCAGTGTGATGGATGTAGAAATATATTATTATCGGTTTCTTTTTCCTTGGTTGTTTCTCAAGGCCACTTTTCTTTCCCGTTTTTTATTAGAGAAATGTGGAGAGAAACGAAAATGAAGCGAGGTGAGGGGGTGCTGACTTCCTTCTAACATTTTCTCAATGAAAAGAGATCGGAGATTTGGATATAAGAAGTAAGAGACAGTGTTTCTGAATATTGATATATGCCATATCAATTTAATACTGAACATGTCTTAACTTTCTTATATCTCCTATGAAAAGGAAAGTGTCCCAAAGGAGGAGAGGTGGGAGAAATGGGGATAAAATGAAGAAGCGAAAGCATGATAATAAGTACGGCTTCTGGAGAGAAGGATCATAAAAATGAAGGGGGATATGGAGAAAAGAAAGGAAAAAAGAAAAATAGCAAGTATTAGAAGGGAGAGGGAAAGAAAGGGGAGAGATTAAAAATTGAAAGTGAAAAGAGCCTTTCATTGTGACACAGTTGTGAAGGGCAGCCTACAAGGAAATGATTTGGCCTTTTTGGAAGAAGAAATTGGAAGGAGAGAAAGAGAGTTTGTGGGCACTTTGTATGAGGTTTAATTTTTTTTTTATCACTCTGCTTTTTTTCTCTGTTGGAATTTACTTTTGGATGGCATCAGAAAATGGGACTTCAAGGTTACTCCTTGTATGCGACAAAGCTATTTCGGAATCAGAAACATGGACATCGTTGCCTATATCTTGTTTTGAACGCCAGAACAACTCATTGGCACAGCTAGTTGTCATAGACATGGAAATTGTACCTTGATATTTCTAGATATAATTGTTCACAAAAAAAGTCAACAACAGCACAAACAACGGCAACCCAACAGTAGCAACAGCAGCAACAACAGCAGCAACAGCAGCAACAGCAACAGCAGCCTCAGAAGTACTCGCTGCATTATATCCGCCGAGGCCATCCACTCAGAATGAAGATAGATTTCAAATTATTCTTGGCCTGTTCCTGAACTACTCCAACTTCCCTACGAGCTGAAATAATCAACAATAAACTCCACATCAACACCTCGACATTTGCGAAGCTGTTGGAGTTGATGCAATTTCCGCACCCGGTCAAAAAAGAGAGAAAAACTCTTTAAGTCTACAGGGGTGAGCACAACCGTAAAGGGGGGGGGGAGGTTGTCGCGAGCCTGCGAAGCAATAAATGACAAGCAGCATGCACGCGCATACATCTCGGTCCATCATTGGGAGGGACAATATTGAATGTGGGTTACGGGTGAAGACGATTACGTCAAAAATCTTGAGAACGGAATCACAGAGGGAGGATCAGAGAGCGAGGAAGAGATTGGATCACACTAACGTTAAGATTGTCGGAATTAAGGAGGGTTATGGAAAAATGTCTTTAAAAAAGAGAAAGAAATTGTTACAGTTGGAAACACATATTAGAAGTGTAATTCAGTCAAGTCACGTTTTTATAGGATCTCGAGTGTGTAATAAAAACTACTTTGACGTTAGGGCGACGTGAGCTTGTGTTTCGTGCCTAAAGAGAAAGATTTGCGATTTGTAATATCTGACCTATATTTTTTAATGAATGTAAAGTATAGCCCTTATTTCGAATTTCCTACTGCTTGACCTAGTGCGCAATGCAATTCCGTCTCTAACAAACAGGAAACGGTGCCATGTGCTCTGTGGGGAGGACCAAGTCGTGGGGAAAAGGTGTGGGGGGGGGAGGGGGTATAAACTTTAATCTTACTGATTTCTCTATGTTTATTTTTTATTCACTCCTCCTTTCGAGTATGTTTGACCTCAATTTTTTTTTAAGTGGGTTGGGAAGATTTAAGGGGTAGGGATTTCTGTAAATAAGGAATTACTTTCTGGGAAACGTTCAGCCTGCTCTAATCACGTGTTTGCAAGAGAAATGTATAATATATGCTTAGATCCTTTTCAACAAGGAGGCATTAAAGTATTTGTTCAAGATTTATTTTTATGAGAGTCCTCCAGAACCTTTTCCTCTTTCCCCCTCTCCAACCC